TTCAAAATATAATTTAGGAAGATGAAGACGATGGTAATGATAATAAAGATAACATAATAGACATTGACCTAAATAAAATAAAAGACTTAAATGAACTAAAATAAAACTATCTAATAAAATAAGTTTTGAACATTAAATAATTATCAGTTTAACTTTGTATAATGGAAAATGTTTTTATTAATTAATATTTTTAAAATTTTATTATATTTTTTTATTATAAAAATTATACTATTTATCTCATTTAAACAAATAAAAAATAATTAAATTCGTACCATTAAACACAATTAAAAAAAAAAAACTACGAATTTTTTGTTACGAATTCGTCCATGGCACGACTTACCCATCTTAATAATTTTTTTAAAATGGTGCAGCCGTCTGGTAAAAAACTGGGCAAATTACATCCATTTGATAAAAAAATAAAACAAAAGCCACCTGCTATAATATATATCTCAACAAACTGAACAAACCCAGTATAAATACCAAACACACCGTTACGAATCGAAATCGAAAGTTTTTGTGGTAACTTCAGAATATGAAGGTGAGAAAATAAAATGAGTTATTGGGAACAATAATATTTTGACCCAAAAAAATATAAAATCCGGACGTTTAGAGAGCATATGCGCTGGGCCGAGCCCAGTTAAATATTGAATTCAAAATAAAAGAGAGCGTAACCAGAGGGTGGACATAGCTGCGTTAGGTTAACGCGTTCATTCAAATTACAGAACTTCAAACCCTCCCAATATATAAACCCTCGCTTGAGTGTGTTCTCTCATAAACTCAGTTCTCTTCGATAATTTCCCATTCGTTCTCTTCAACCCAACGCAGCGTAGCTACACCTCCCATTCCATGGTATGCTATTGCTCTCTCCTTTCAACGTTTGATGTTCACTTTTATTCCGCCCTTCGATTTATCACTCATCTTTTCCGATGCAGGCTTTGCCCAATCAGCAGACTGTGGAGTACCCAAGTTTCAAACTTGTAATCGTCGGCGATGGTGGCACAGGTAAGCTTTTCTTTTTTGTTTCTCACTTTTTTTTCGCCGATTATCCTATGTTTTCAATAATTGAAAGTATGTTTGAACGATCTAGGTTATACCTTGGCATATGAGCTTATTTGTGATGAAATTTGCAGGAAAGACAACCTTTGTGAAAAGGCATCTTACCGGTGAATTCGAGAAGAAATATGAACGTAAGATTCGTTTATAAATAATTGAAGTTAAGGATGTGTGCCTAACATATTCCAAATTCAACTTGTTTTTTAATCTCTGCTTGTCCATAACAGCTACAATCGGTGTGGAGGTTCACCCATTGGATTTTTTCACCAACTGTGGAAAGATTCGATTCTACTGCTGGGATACCGCTGGACAGGAGAAGTTTGGTGGTCTCAGAGATGGATACTAGTAAGTCGTGTGTCCACAATTTTCGTATTTAACAATGGACAGTAAGTGTAACTGATTGCGTGGGTCATGACACTTAACATGCCTTTTCAATTGTCATTTTTTTTTTCTTTATGAAATTGATTACTTTGTTTATAGCTGTTTGATTCTCTTGGTTTAGAATATCAGAGCTAGTGTTGTAGTTTTGCATGCCAGTTATCGGCTTTTGTAGTTTTTGCTTATCTTACAACGACTGTTAGATATATGTAGAACTGCAATGAGATCTTTAATTTGTTCCACTGGAAATGTTTGTGCAAGATTTTTATGTATTATGCTGTTATACCAACCCCTAATGCTTGTTAAATGGTATTTTATGTCGCAGTATTCATGGGCAATGTGCGATTATCATGTTTGATGTTACTGCCCGACTAACATACAAAAATGTCCCTACCTGGCATCGTGATCTTTGCAGGTTCGTAAATGTCGACCCCTACACCTTTTTGGATGTGTTGTCTCTAATTCATTAGAATTATGTGGTTTATTTGACATCATGGGCGATTTCTGCGTAACTTATTTTTCAGGGTCTGTGAAAACATCCCAATTGTTCTTTGCGGTAACAAGGTTGATGTCAAGAATAGGCAGGTGAAGGCAAAACAGGTTACTTTCCACAGGAAGAAGAATTTGCAGTACTATGAGATCTCAGCTAAGAGCAACTACAACTTTGAGAAACCATTTTTGTATCTCGCTCGTAAACTTGCAGGGTAGAGCCACTGCGTTTTTACTTCTTATATTATATTTGCAATTTAAACGAATGCCAACTTATTTTTTGGTACTGTGTCAATTTTGCAGTGATCCCAACTTGCACTTTGTAGAATCTCCTGCATTGGCTCCACCTGAAGTTCAAATTGATTTAGCTGCTCAACAACAGTAAGCTATCTGTCATGTGCTAAATTGTTTCTCTTATTTCATCAGCGGCTTACTTGATTTGCCTTTTATGGTTTGCATGATAAGAAAAAGATATGTTGTAGATTTGCCATGTTGCGTTTTGAATTAAAAATGCTTTATAAAAGTGAATTGCCACCAACCATAATTACAGGAAAGTTAGGAAAGAGTTTGTATTGATATTTTTGGGATCTTGGGACGGAGAAGACTTTGTTTCTAAATTTAATTAATCACGGGGACTGGAAATTGTTTCCCATATTCACTCACTCCTTCTTCCTGCTCTGCCAACATTAACATCCAGCAGACAAAGTGAAATAATTCAACCTCCATCCCATTCATATATTATAAATCCCAATAAATCCAGTGCTTGTTAATATTGATCTCATTTGATAATGATTGCTCATTTTACATTTCCTATGATTATCTATTGGCTGCTTTTGCAGGCATGAAGCTGAGCTTGCTGCAGCTGCCAGTCAGCCCCTTCCTGACGATGATGATGATACTTTTGAGTAGAGAACTAGGTTGTCTATGGAACTAATGTTGGTATTTTTAAGCTACCTATAATTGCTTTTGGGGTTGTGGTATTGACATCTTGTTGCTTAAATTAAAAATCTCATTTTTACTATATTATGGGAGTTAGAAAGATGTGAACTGGTGGTTGTTTCAACGAATATTGTCTTTTAATATTCAAGGATGCGCGACTTCGATCATTTTGATCCAGTTTATTTTCGGTCACCTTGATACATATTACTTCACATGTAATTTAACTCTGTATTCTTAGATCTAGCAATAAGAATAAAGGATATGATTTCCAGTAAGTTTTACGCCAAATTGAAAACGATATAATATCTGCCGGTGTAATTTTCAAGTACCTTTTAAATTTTCTTCAAAATGTTTAAATTCAATTGAAAAATCAAAATGAGTTTGTTTATTGACCATTTAAAGTCATTTCGGTCTGACTTACTACAATGGATTAATGAGTTAAGTATGTAAGTTCTCTTAATTTCCTCTCTCTCTCTCTCTATATATATATATATATATATGTATATATATATTTAAAAATTTAATGAAATTTTAAAATGAAAATCCTTATTAACTCAGTTTAGTATTATTTTTGTCAATCAATTCTAATTTGTAAGTTTTTGCGTAAAGCATATTGATTAAAAAAATTAAAATTATTCGTAATTAGATGATTTTTTTAAAAAATAAAATTATTCGTAATTAGATGATTTTTTGTTAGTTGAGTTTGCATGAATTCAAACTGATTTTGTTCGCTGGCTGTGGTTTTTTGATTGGTCATGTCCAAATCGGTTTTCAAATTAGTGTCCCTGCTGTACTTGATTAATGTACACCACCAATTTTTTAATTCCTTTGTAGTTCAGTGGGCAGATGTGTATAACACATTATTTTATGATGCACTTAAGAGCTTTTAGTAATTCTGAGATTAAGAATAAATACAAATATTTTATTTAAAAATTATTATTTTTTTAAAATTGTGTAAATGTTATTTATATAGATTTTCTTTATATTTTTAATTCATGTGTTTTTAATAAAACATCCATTTTATTTTTAAATAACTCTTGCCAACGATTTTAAAAACTTATGCTAATTTCCGTATCAAATATAACAGTAGACCATTTACTCGGATCTAGTCTAAATGAAATAAGCAATCTATTAATGAAAATTTTAAGGAGGGGAATCCATATGGTTTTAAGTGATGTTATATTTTTAAACATTTATTAAATTTTTAATCATAATAAGTGTAAAACACTTGAGAGGACGACACTGAACCAACGTTTTGGTATTTAATGACGTCGAGAATTCAATTCTCCCTTCGTATATTTTAACTTTTCCGTTAGACTGTCTTTAACGAGTTGAGCAAGAAATTATTCGGCAATTTGTGATTTTTGTAATGCTCAACAAATCTTGCACAAAACATTATTTCCATCAAACTTCGTCAAATCCTCACTTAGGAATTCTTTGGTGCTTAAAATAAAATAATATTGATTTAAAAGTTAAATATGAAAACGTTCTCATCGAATACATGTTTTATGTATTTTACTATCTTTTATGATGGAGGCATATTAGATAATATACAGAATGCAATATAAAAATTAAAATGTATTACCTTTCTATTAAATATTAATGTAATAAAGTATTAATTTGAAGTTGTTCATTTCGTGTTACTTCATAAATTAATTTTAAATCAGACATTAATACTTTTCTCTGTCCAATCTCTTATCTTCGTAACAAATCAAAATATCTTAATATTAATAATATCTTTTATTATTAATTTAGTTGCCAACTTTTTGGTAAGTTTACCATAAAAGAGTATATCACTAGTTTAAATGCAGTGAATTACAATTTAAATTTAGAATACAGACAAAACGACAATTAAAAAAAAAAAGTCAAATGTTGAATTGAAAAGATGTTTATATGTGGTGGGCTGGTTTGCGTTTAAAAGGGGATCGGCAGTTTGGGCTGTCGATGTATTATATTTGGAGGCCCATTTATTTGAAAATAAAAAAACCAAAGTCCAAGTGGAAGAGGTGCGTGAAGTTAACGCTAAGAGGGACTCTCCAGAAAGAAACGCGAACTTTTATAAACACTTCGTTTCATTTCTGTCACTCTCTTCTCTCCAACATCACTTTCTTTCTTCTCCCCTCTCAGTCACTGCGTTCACCATGGTACTCTCTCCCCTGTCCCAGCTTTTGATTTTTTTTTTATTCTCTACAGTCCATTAACGTAATTTGTGCGTCGCAGGCGTTGCCAAATCAGCAAACGGTTGAGTATCCGAGTTTCAAGCTCGTCATCGTCGGTGACGGTGGGACAGGTGAATTACACCTCTTCCTCCTCTTCAGTGATCCACTTCCATTCTTTATGAAAAGAAAATCGTTAGGGTTAGGGTTATTTCGCAACTGGTATTGTTTTTCTGGTTTTTGTTGTTCTTTCTTAACGATCTAGGTTCTTTATGAAATATAAATTTTCGGCCGACTTTTTCATCACGAATTTGAGTTTAGTGTTTTATTAAACTGTGTTGAATCTTTGCAGGAAAGACAACGTTCGTGAAAAGGCATCTCACCGGTGAATTTGAGAAGAAATATGAACGTCAGATTCTTGTTCTTTATTTACTTTTGTGGTTAAGGATTTATGCTTATGCGTTCGTCTTAATTCGCGTTTGTGTCTTTTGTTCTCATGATTTTGTCCCAAACAGCGACCATTGGTGTGGAGGTTCACCCGTTGGATTTTTTCACGAACTGTGGAAAGATTCGCTTCTACTGTTGGGATACTGCGGGGCAAGAGAAGTTTGGTGGTCTCAGGGATGGATATTAGTAAGTTATTTGTACTTTGGAGATGGATTCTGTTTTTTGCGTGAAATTAGCAACAAGAACAATAGACTCTGTTTTTTATTCATAATGTCATGTCAGGCTTTTTTATTTTAATATTTACATGTACTTGGCTTGTGTGGTCATTTGCACCCAACGGGAAAATGAGAATTTGTTTATTTTTTATTGCTTTGAATTAAATAGCATTGTTTCGTTTGTTTGCATGTTATGAGCTTTTATCATCTATTCATTTATGCTTCTTGCATTGATTATTGGTTTGTTGATGATTAATTCATTGGGTCTGTTTTGAATATCTACATTGTTTGTCTAACCGAAACCTAAGATTTTGATTTCTTTTATCATTATTGTGCTGACAGATAGCTACATGATTTTTCTGCATGTTTGAAATGTAAATTTTGCTACATGTGAACAATTATTGTTGTTCATTGACATTGATTCCATACATATGATTAACACGGTTCCTTATACTGCAGTATCCATGGGCAATGTGCGATTATCATGTTTGATGTTACTGCCCGGCTAACTTACAAAAATGTCCCTACCTGGCACCGTGATCTTTGTCGGTTCGTAGATGAATTCATTAAAACCTGTATATCAGTTTTATCATAAAACCTGTTTGCATTAGATCATGGACGTTTTCTGCCCAACTGATTGTTCAGGGTTTGTGAGAACATTCCAATTGTTCTTTGTGGTAACAAGGTTGATGTAAAGAACAGGCAAGTGAAGGCAAAGCAGGTTACATTCCACAGGAAAAAGAATTTGCAGTATTATGAGATATCTGCAAAGAGCAACTATAATTTTGAAAAGCCATTCTTGTACTTGGCTAGGAAACTTGCAGGGTATAGGCAGAGCTGCTAAATTTTGTTTCCGTTCCAAATTATTCAATTACATACTTCTGAATCATTTCAACTTAAATTTTCCTATTTCTGTCAATTTTCAGAGATCCTAACTTGCACTTTGTAGAATCACCTGCGTTGGCTCCACCTGAAGTTCAAATTGATTTAGCGGCACAACAACAGTAAGTTACCTGTTATTCAGCAAATTAGTTCTTTATCAGCAACCTTAGTTCTTAGTCACGGCTTCTTCAGCATGACAAAAATTAATTTATAGGACTGCGGAGTTGCATTTTGAATTTAAAGATGTGTTAATGATTTGTTGTCATGGATATTGGGTTTCTAAAGTTGTGTTATTTTAGTTTCTTTAAGCAAAGCCCAAGATTTGTTTCATAGAGATCAAACTGATAGTATTACTGTATTTGGTCATCCGGAATTGATTATTTGTAGAGATATCTTATTATATATGAATTGGTGGCTTTTGCAGGCATGAGGCTGAGCTTGCTGCAGCTGCTAGTCAGCCCCTTCCAGACGACGACGATGATACATTTGAGTAGGGAATTGTGCGTCTGTGAATCATTTTCCTTAGTAGTTACTGGTATTTGTGTATGCTACAATGTTTTTGGGGTTGTGTATTATTGACATTTTTGGACGTGGATTTGAGGTTTTAAATTCAATCATTATGAGGTGTTTTGCTTTTTTTTTTTGTTATTTAGTTGGGCATTCTTTTTTTAGTCTCTTTTGACGCATCCCGACACGCTACACTTTTCGTGTATGGATAGGTTTTTTTTTTTTTTTTTTTAATCACACAAGAAGAAACTGTTCAGTGTTTTATCTAGTAATCACTTGTTATATTTGTAATGCCTTCTGAACTCACATTTTTCCTAACATTATTTGTTATTGGCTGAATTTTATTGGTACCTATAAATGTGTATGTCTTATTTAATTAGTCTCATGGCTTTGTAATTCTCAATAATTTAAATTTAATAATACAGAGTGCTTGAAAGGGACTATGTTAGAGGGCATTATTAGTCGATAAAATAACGTTGTTGTCTATTTAACTTAAATGTTCTAGTTTGTCCTTGCTGAATGGGATGTGTTTAGCAAGTGTTGCACAAGTAATAATATTTCAAGCCTTTTATATATATAAGATATGCTTATTTATTTTCTCTTAGAGAATTTTAAATATTCAGTACTTAATTATTTTTTATGAAAAAATTAAGTTGAAATTATATTTTTAGAACTTATATTTGTTTCTATTTTCTAAAATATTTCTCTTTTGGTTTCCCTCTCCTTTCTTCATTTTTGTTTTTTTGTGCTGTCTCTTATATTATTAGTCCGGTTCATCTAGTATAATATATAGGATTTAATTTTATTTGTTATTAAAGTAAGTTAAATTACATATAAGTCAATCTCTTACTATTAATTTATTATTATTATTATTATTATTATTATGTAAATTTATCCTTATCATATTATATCTCCTATAAATTTATCAGAAAAAAATTATATTTCTCTATTTAATTATTGATTAATGTGTCCATGGAACGTTTTGCCTACATAATTAAAATAAAGGATATTTTCACTTCATTTACTAATTTTTAAGATTATGTTAGATTTAATCTTGATGTTAGTAGTATCAAAATAATATGTACAAAGGATTGCCTACACTTTTATACTTGATTTTGTGGTAAAAAAAATTTGATTCAATGATATTAAACTTAGTGGATGATATTAAACAGTCAACCAATCAGCAAATATCCAAATAAGTAATTTTTGCAACATCCCGCAAGAGTTGTGTTGGAAATACACTTTCACTCGTTTGATCCAAATGATGAATGTTGATGTTCTTCAAGTTTGAAACATAATTAAACTCATGTCCGTCTTACTTCTTTAAAGAATATCGCATATAACAAGAGTTTGTTTTTAAAAACAGTTTTCAATATTTTAGTTTGTTTGATAATTATGTTATTAAAATAATTTAGAAACTGTTTCAATTTTTTAGTTTTTAAAACTAAAAACAATGAATATAAGTAGGAACAACATACATTTCTTGAAGTTCGAGACATACTTAAACCCAAGTTGGTGATATTTCTTTAAGTAATTTCGTTAATAATAAGAACTTGTCTTTTGAAAACAGTTTTTAATATCGAACATCGAACAACTTTGTTGGATAATCATATTATTAAAATATTTTTTAAAAATTATTATAAACTAAAAAAAGTAAAAACTGTTAAAATATGTTTTGTTTTTTAATTTTAATTTTTGTTCTTTAATAATTAAAAATATGGAGAGAATGATAGGTTTTAGTTTTCATCAATGACATTATTGTAAATATATTAAAACTTGAAATTTTCACATTTAAAAATATTTCATTAATCCTTCCTCCATTTTATTCATAATAGGTTTGAGATTTGAAAAAATTTCTCTGCAACTGTAGCTTCTATTAAGCCATTTAGCTGAAAAGCAACATTTTTTATTTGGAATAACACTCAAACTAGTTATCATAAAAGCGTTATTCATTTTAGATAGGTGGATTTTTTTTATTATTTTCAATTGTTTTTATTATTCTCATAAATGACAAACTGATATTTTTTTGTAAAAAATAAAAATAAACTGTTTTAAAACAATTTTATCAAACAATCTTTTTTTTTCATTTTCATATTATTAAAATAATTTTTTTAAATTGTTTACTAAAATTTCTTTATGTCTTAACAGACAATCAGCTTCCTTCATAGCTGGCTATGTAAACTTTGATAGTTACAAGTTTCTCTTTTGCTTTATAATATTAATCTTACAATCTATTGGTTTATAAAAAATATTAACATAATATAAAAAAATATTATGTTACTTCGGCAATAACCCGAGTAGCAAGAGTTTAGTAAAAACTCTAATATTTTTTAATAAAATGTATCAATTATTTTAAATTTGTAAAAATATATATTGCTAGATAAGTTATACAAATACTTAAAATTATTATACTTAAGATGAATTATATATATATTTTAAAGTATTTTTATATTTATGTCTTATATTATTGTAATTTATATATTTTAAAATATGTTTTAAAGTATTATTCTTTATTATGTAATGTATTAATATTATATACTTTTTAATCTGTTTAAATACCGAATTTTATTATTTTATATATAAATTTAAGACGAAACTAATATTAGTTTGAGATTAACTTTATTTAACCACAAGTGAGAGTTTGATTTAAAGACTTTAGTCACGAAATATAATTTTCTTACTTTTGGTCTTCCTTAACTCGTATAACATTCTCTCATTTAATATTTTATGCAATAAATATTTATTAACTTTCTTCATAATTATCTTTCATTGGAGCATTTGATTGAATGTCTATAGTGAAATCCCTTTAAAATAAATTATCACAAAGCTCAAATATATAGTTATATTTTAAAGTTAAATGAAATATTAAAAGTACATAAATAATTCAAGTTGGTTTATTCTTCTTTGACTCTGACAAATACCCCATAAATCTGAGTAGAATTGCAGAAATCTTAATAGATATTTAGAGTTGGAGAAAAAATTACAAGTATCCCAACTATTAAAGCAACTAAAATCCATTAACAATTTGTTTATCTGAAAATCATAACTTCGAATACCAATTATACTTTGTAAATTACTTTATAATTCCTTTTTACTCGAAATATTGCATAATTAATTTATTGATTTTCGTCAAGATTATATAGATTTTTTTATGTAATATTCAATCAATTTATAGGATAAATTTATGTAGGAACATTCACACCATTTTAATTTAATCATGTATTATATTATCTTTTTTCTAGTCAATATTATGACATTTAATACACCCCTTTAGTTAGTTATAGTTAAAAATTGGTTTACTTTTGATGATATTTGTTTAACAAATTAAAAAAATCTAACAATCAATTTTAAAACATCAGAAAAAGAAGAAGTTAATTTCCCAAACTTCCCATTTTTTTACAACAATAATTCCTTGATTAACATTAAGGTAAAGTGCAAAACTCTATCAAAGGACGATACGCATTTGGAAATCTAAATGTACACATAAGCTACATTGATATGAGAAACAAACTATGTTTACACTGAGCAACATAATTGCATTATTGTTTACAACTGTTTGGTAGATTATAGGTTAATTATTCATTCAATTGGCATACTACAGAAAAATATGAAACGTGTGAATGATCTAAATTTAACACATTTAAGTCAAACTTGAATACACAGCACAGGCTGCAATCATACAAAATTTAAACAGATTGACTACAAAGCGGATAAATATGACTAGAGGCAATGAAACATTATCAAACAAATTCAAATACGGAAAACAAGTTACGCTTTACACACATACATATACAGGCAAACAAAATATGTATTAGATTTGCTAATTCGCACCATCTTCTCAGGTACTTCCTTTCCACATGCCTCTTGATTTGCAAATGGCATCCAAATTATCCACAGGAAAGACTAATCAGAATGGCCTCAACGGACTTAGAAAAAAAAAAGTGCATTGGATTAAAATACAGGGGAAAATATGTTTATGAATAGCCGATTTATATTTAGTTATCTACCAAACATTTCAAAATACACAGTTACGAATCAAAATGATACTAAGGCTGCATAGTTAACATAATGTAATCAACGGATCTCATTAGCTATCAGTATACATTCCTTATAAAAGCCCAACACACAATATTTGGAGACAAAATCAATAATATATAGAGAGAATAAAACATAAATTTAACCTCAACGAGAACAGAGACAAATGCTGTTCCATGTCAAAGCATTCAATGGATGTTCTAGCACTTTCTTGATAATGGTCAATTGCCAGTATGTTTGATAATAAAGAGAGGGGCTTAGGATAGAAGTCAACATTTGGAACTAATGCATACATGCACAGTAACTGCTACAGAAAGAAAAGAGGAAATGAGCTTATTGATTTGAGGAAGATGGGTTGCATGCATATTCCTACGTTTCTTCACAAATTCTTAAGTAAAAGTTTCAGTACAAAATTACTGACTTTCCCAAGACTTGTTAAAAAAGTATCATTATCCTGTCTAATGCCAATTTCAACATTGTCAAGAGAACAAAATTAAACTGTTGATGAACTGATGGAAATTTTAAAAATCCAACCCTAACAAGGTTTAGAAAATAAGCAGCACCAAGTGACCAGTTCAAAATAGGTATAACGAGACAGCATATAATGGGATGACACAAAAATCATATGCTTATCTTTTATAATCAAAGTCATAATGAATTAGTGACATGGTCTACCAGATACACATTTGCCATATATTTAAGGCATAATTAACTAGTCAATTACTGTTGGACACCAAGGTGGAATATGCACAAAATGAAGAAGCAAAGAAAAACCAAAATGGACAGAGGCTGGCATAGACTAGTGAAAACAGAAGATAAGGAAATGCAAATTGCTTAGCACATAAGGGCAGTTGCCAGACATGGTGAAGTGGAATTAGAGAATGGATAGAACGTTTTTGCATAAGAGGGGGACCGGACAGATATTGTCGAAAAGACCCTAAAATAACAAGGTCGATGATGCAAAAATGGAGGAAATGTGAGATATTTACCCGTCTGAAGAATGGCTGCAATTTGCAGCCATGTCAACACACCACACATCCGTTTATGCATCATGGTGAGGCCACTTGACAGAAATCCATAGCAATTAGCTACCTGATATATAACGCATTCTGAAACATCCTAGCATCACTTTTTTTCAGCTGACAGGACATTTAACAGTGAAGATAATTCACACGATGTGCAAATAAATCAAATAAATATCTGAATACTTGACTATAAGATCTACCATAAGAGGGTTACATCCACAGTTTAAAAGTAAGTTCATGTTCTGGTGCGATACGAGAGTGAAAAAGCAGTGGTCAGAAATTTCTAATCTACGTAAGAGAATTATTGGTAGACGTGACCAAATTAATTTGCAGAGAGAATAGAAGCAAACCTAGCATCATATTTAGCCATTGGAAGCAAGGCATGCAAGCCTCCTACACTGGCCCTGGAAAATTGTAGTTGATTTGTCAATATTCAAATGGCAGAAAAGTTTATGCCATAAAATAGACAGCTAATATATTTTATCTAATTTCAGCAAGATTTTATATTAAATTTTGGTAGTATAATCAAGCTGTCAAAGTAAATCCCCGAAGTGGTTAATCATTACTTGGCAATTAAATGATATACAGAAGCATAAGGAAGTAGTTAAAGAGACAATCAGAGATATAAGGAAAGAGAAGCTAAGAACTAGTACCACTGAAAATGATAATCATAACATCAAATATAAAGAAAGAGAGAATATAATAGTGCAAATATATAAAGAGTATCATAACTTGATGTAATCATAATGAATATGGCAACATAATTTCCCCAATATTGAAATATTAAGAAAAAAATTTATTCAAAAATATGTACTCTTGTTCAGAACTTAATAAGGCTGTACAATTGAGGAATTAAAATGTATACATTTAAAAATTCTGACCAGATGAACCTAAGTTCTTTATCTCCATCAAATGTTCATCATTTGAAATATTTAGTGAAATACGAAGGTTAGTCAACAATTCTTCTTGTTCCCAACTTAAAGAACCAGAGGCATACATGACTTCTAGGGTACTGTGGTATGCATCCAACTCTAACCTATGAATTCTTTCTGCTACAACCTCATTGGGAGAAGTGGAGCATCCTTTATCCACATCTCTAACATCTAGAGATTCTGCATCACTGCAAAGGATATCTTCATCCTGGCAAGAACCTGCTAAGGTATCACTGGAAATTTTATTTGAGTTACTACTTATCACACTACAACTGCCAACAGAACTCAGATCACTACTAGAATAAACAGGTTCTTCAATTCGTTCAAGAAAGTGTGTTGAAACATTATTATGATTCTCCTTTCCTGTTTCATAATATTTGTTGGTACCGTTAGTAAAGGAAGTATGCATGCATTTTTCACCCATATTATTTTGTGGGTAAGCAACAGCATATACCTTTTGCAGCAAGGGGACTGTGGTTACATCTTTGAATCTTTCACACTCACCCATATTCGAAACAGCCCTTAATTTTCTGGGATACGAGTCGATAGGAGAGGAGACAAAAGGGGCCATTCTCTTCAATCTTGAAGATGAGGCCAGGCAAGGTTCCTGGTGACCGCTGGCATCTAATCCTGGAGAAAAAAAAGTCCTGCTCATATTTTCAGGCTGATCTTTGGAACTGTTTGAAATCAAGCTAGACTTTCCAACTGGAGACTTGCCAGATCCCTGGAACAAGCATGAACAAATGTCAGGACAAGGATGGAATTCAATTTCAGAGTAATCAAGGAATCTTCATAAAGAAAATGATCGGAATTCAACTATTAAGGAAATATCCCAAAATTTGACAATATTAGCTAAAATTAGAAATGAAATCATGAGCAAAGCTCTACTATTTATGTTGAGCAAATAGAAATTTACCTTTGACATGACAACCCATTGACCATTTTGCAAAGTCTGGCGCGCCCTCATGTTTACTCTGCGAACAGTCAACTCTTTGCAAGATACCCACAACCTTACGAAGTAGAAGTCTCCATCAATGAATTTCAAAACTGTAGCAGCTCTCCAAGAACCAAAATTGTAAACCTCCACATGATCATTTGCAGCCCAACTCTCAATACCTTTAATAAGAGGGGGGGATGGTCTGATGGCCTTCCTTGAAACTCTCTCTATGCTGGCCTCGCTTATTGTGCTAGCACGGTCGTATTGGACACTGTAGGTGTGCCCATTACCAGAAATTATTCGTGCGCATCGCCATTCCACACTAAGTCCATCAGTATTGCCAGGGATCTCAACTTTACTTCCCTTTCTCAATCTCATGATGATGACTACTTCAACTCAGACACGAACCTGTGACATTGATAAATATATGTTTACTATGACAGAATAAAAAATCACAAAATTGTTTATATCAGATACCCTTGAAGGCTTCTAGAATCAAATTCAATAGAATCAAATAAAATATTCAACAACTTCCGCCAACGATGAAAATAGAATCACAATCAAAGTTTGAAAACAGTTCACGACGGTAGCAAAGACAAGGTTTTCTGAATCTTTGCCATCGCAATTCTGACCACAATTGTGGCTGCATATACTGCATTTACCGACAATTTCCCGAGACAAAACCATGACGGCAACAACAATAATTTAAAACCTTTATCAGTATCCCTAATCACTAATCAGTAAAGGTGTGTCAATCGAATGAATTTATTATAAAATATAAAAAACAAACTTATTGCTAACTGAAACAAAAATAAATTCCCAATAAATTTGCAGTTAAAAAAAAAATTCCAATGAAAATTGTAAACGCGGTTAATTGGAAAGTAATTAAATTTCAAAAATAGCCATAATACACATGCGTACAGCACAAAACAGACCAAATCTGGAATGGAGGTAACAGATCAAAATTTAAGAGCAGAAATCACAACAGAAGCTGCAGGGTGTAAATTGTGAAAGAAGACATGAACCGAAACAACTCTAATAACCGAAGAAGATGAAAACCAACCTTTATCGACGATTCACGATGTGAGATCGCTTATAATCTCTGAACTAATCGCTGCGCCTGCAAAAATATTTGATTTTTCCAAGGGGAAGAGTATTGAAAATGCAATTAAATTAGGGTTTCTGAGAATTTATTGTTAAAAATGGCATATTTGTGCAATTTAAGGGCGTAGAGAAGATAAAAATAGGTAAATGGGCCGCATAGAATTGGGCCAATTGCAGGCTTGTATTTTTAAGGATGTAGGAAAAAATTATGGAAATATAGAAAAAAAAACAGTCAAAATTATTTCATTTACTTCATAAGTTGCATTTACAACAACATATGACGTGATAAATATTATGAAACAACTTTTCCACCCAATTGATGACTAATTTCGTAATTAAATATTGATTATCATATATTTTTATGTTATCTACTTTATTTATATATATATATATATATATATATATATATATATATATATATCCTCTTATCCTATATCTATACGAATAAAAACTATAATTTGATTTTAATCTTTCTTAATAATTAATACAGGTTTTATGTTTTTAAAATGTTTTATTTTTCTAATATGAATAACAAAATTTGTATAGTTATGATTTAATAAACAAAACATATATGTATTAAAAATTAATACATTAAAATTACTATATATATTACACTTATTATTTCGTAGTTTTAATAAGGTATTTATAATACGTTTTAAAACTTTAAAATATTAAAATTAATATGTTTTTTAATTTAAATTTAAAAAATGAAATTTTTAATATTTCTATTAATAAATTTAAATTGTTGAAAACAATAAATTAATTTTACTAGATATATTATACTTATTCTGGTCACGTTGGTATTTATTAGTTAAAATATAATGTCACTTCCTTTATTGTTATTTTTTATTCCCAGATTCTTTCATTCAGAACCGATCTTTTAGGTATATTAGATATAATAAACTACTGAAAATAAAATTTCAATCATTTTTTAATATTTATAATTAAATAATTTTAATATTTTTTATAATAAGAAATATTTATAAATTTAACAATTTTTAACTATGAATTCAATATATTTTTAATTTATTATATTTATATTAAAATATAAAAAATATTTAATATTTTTATAGGAGATAAATACTTATAATAATAATATTATTATTATTATAACACTATGTAAAAATTTAATTATTTATATAAATAATTATTTTTAAGTTGAAATTTTAAAATATTAATAAATATAAAATATATAAATTATGAGAAAATATTTAATAAATTAAATCTTATTTAATTATTATAAAATAATAAAATATTTAATTATTAATTCTTTTAATTTTTAAAATATAATTATTTTATTAAAATAAATTTTGATATATGATAAATAAAAATAAAACTTAATAATAATAATAATAATATAAATATAAAATAATATTATATATTATTAAAATTAATGTAGAATATTCTAAAAAATATATAAAAAATTCTGTATTTATTAAATTAATTAAAAAAATTAAATTAATTGAAGAAATGGAAAAGAACTAAGCTAATAAAAAAAATATAATAAACCAATTAGTGGAAAGTATTGAAAACAAATAGAAAAAATAGATAGAAAAAATAAAAAATAAAAAATATCAAATAAATAATCTTATATATATAATTAAAAAAATAAAAAAATTAATAATTTAAAATTTAAATTTAAATATAAAATCAGGATTGAATAAATTTTTTGTCTAATTTTTTAAACCACAAATAGTAAAAAACCCAAACTTTTACCCATCAACTCAATTTTTTTATATGAAAACCAAGATCAAATGTATCCTACTCATCAGTTTTAATAGTGATATCTATTAATACATTACATATTCCATAATTTAATAAATATTTAAAATATATATAGTATTTTTATTTCAAAATGAGTTAACCATCAAAATTTATTTTAGTCATGTTATTAAATTTTAAGAGTCAATAGTCAACAAATAAAGATTATAGATTTGTTATTTCATAGTTTCAATAAAATATTTGATGTTTTTGAAAATTTCAATTTAAAATAAATAATAATTTTTAATGTAAATTCTAATTAACATTTAGTTTTTTTATTGTTAACTATAATTTAATAAATACAATTTTGTTGGGTATATTGCACTTATTATTTCATAAATTCAATATAAAGATTTATAATATATAGTGAATAAAATAATAATTAAATATAATAATTAATGTTGTCTTTCAAGATATTTTGTAAAACCTATAACATATACATACTAAATTTCATAATTGATGAAAGTCCTGTATATAATAGCATATACTAATACTAATTATTTTATAACTTGATATTTTTCCATTTCTCCAAATTTTAGATTTTACTGTGCCTTTATATCTTTCTCATTATCATCCACGGTCACCATTTAGTTGATTTAATATTTTATTAAATAAACATTTAAATTAAATATAAAATTAATCATAGTTCGATTTAATTTAATTTCATTAAATATAAAAATTAAATTAAACTAAAATAATATTTTATTATTAGATTTGGAATAGTCTTTCTTATAATTTGGATTAGTTTTGTTATTATAAAATTGTTAAATATTTTATATAAAAAAGTCATGCTATAATTTTTATTTATTTGTTTTGTTATATTTATAGTTTCATTTATTTATTTGTTTATTGTTACATTATATATTAAAATGAAAAATTAGAATATAAATTATAACATGTTTTGACAAATATAAATACATCATAAATAAAATATAATTTAAATAATAAAATCATTTCAAATAAACACATTAATATATATATATATATATATATATATATATATATTAGTTTTAAATTAATTTAAAATACATAATATTTTATTAAATATATGAAGCAAACTTTTATTTTTAATTCAATGTTGATTCAAACAAATTTTTAAAGAAAAAATAGATTTTAAGAAATTCCAATACCAATATGATAATTTTTTAATTTTTTTAATAAATTTTCTATTATATTTTAATGGGATTTCTAATATCAACAGCGACGAAATTCCCCTCCCTTAACTATTTGACTTGAATACATTTTTATTATTTATAAAGCAACATTTTTGTAATCATTTATAAAGATGATGTTCTTTTTATTTTTTATGATTTATTAACATGTTCTTATCTATTTCACCAAATTAGTCAAATCCAGAAAATTTGAGATTCTGATGATAAAAAAAAACCTTACATAATAATAAATGAAAATTAAAACACGTTCTTAAAAAAAACATTAAAATGTGTAATTAAACCTAAATTTATGAACATATTACTGCAAGAACAACATGGAAAGGAAAGATATTAGTATTTCAATTTATTATCTTGCTTGTTTTATTAATTTGTTCTGCTGCTCTATATTTTGTTTAATTTATCATATAACGCAATGACCTCAAATTAAATTTAGGTGATTTTTATATTAAATAAACTTGTTTCGGTAATGAAAATTACTACAATACTTAGTAATATGTTATGAGTAACATATGCATGCATTTGGAACAAATATTTAATCGAACAAAATATTTTCTTCTAATTTGAGACCATTAATGTCACAAACCTCCCTAGTTAGATTAATATGTTATCCACTTTTTCTAAATTTGGTGACTCAGATAAAAAATTAAAATTACCTTCGGATCTTAAAAACTAGTCAAAAGATTTTCTTTATACCCAGTTTTTTCAAACATCTCGTAAACAATTCTAAAATATTATTTTCTATTAATAAAAAGAAGAAGAAGTAAAATAAATAAATAATAATATAAAAATCTGAAAATTGATCATTAGATATTTAAAAAAAAAAGCTGGTTGTGAAAATATGAAAACCTTAAAAATTATATAAATGTGCCATTGATAAAACTATTACATTAATTTAATAATTCTTTTGCCGTCAATAATAACAAAGGACAAATATATGATTATGTGCTAGAACTCCCAAGAGTAGGACAAAAATCTAAAAAAAAAAGTGAAGCCATTTCCAATGCCAATATAACATTGAAACTATCTACATATATACATAATTTACATTACCAAAGACTCACATTTCTCATTTAAACTTATTGAATGCTTGAATTCAACAAAAAAATTTGGTTATTGAAAGGTGATATTCAACACACCTTACTTGAAAAACAGAAAAAATGTCATCCGTAGCTTCATCATCTTCATCTCGTGTTTTTTATGTTATTAGTGAATGTCTTTCTCTGATTCAGTCAAACTCAATTGAAGATCAAGAGAAAGGTCTTCAAGTGTTGGTTTCTATCACAAAGGTCAGTTCCCATAACAGAGCCTCGTTAGCTCAAACAGAAGGAGCTATTTCAACAATAGCCACACTGACAAACTCTTCCTTCCCTATCATTCAAACACTTTCCTTGTTAACTCTTTTCAACCTATCTCTAAATCCTGACTTGAAGCAATCTCTTGCTGACATGGACACCATTTACTACCTCAACTCTCTCATCACCAACTCATCATTTTTTCTTGGCTCCTCCAAATTGGCCTCCTCGTTGATTTGCAGCTTGGCCATGCATGATAAAAACAAGGCCAAATTTGGGGTGGCAGGCACAGTTCAACTGCTGGTGAAAGCAATTGAAGGGTCTCATGATTCTTATGCGCACCACCTTCTGAGTTCTCTGGCCGAGCTTGTTCATTTTCATGGAAACTGCACTTTAGCAGTGCGAGCTCGGGTAGTGCCAGTGTTACTTAAGGTGGTGAAGGACACTGATAACGAGGACTTGGCAGGAACTTCTCTTACTATTCTTAATCTCCTTGCGAGGTTTGATGAAGGGTTGAATGGTTTGAAGAAAACGGATAAGATAGTTGAGACAATGTTGAGTGTATTGAAGGGTAGGTCTTTGCTGAGCAAGGAGGGTGCAACTGATATCCTTATTCGTCTTTTTGATGACAGTGAAGCGTGTGTCACTGAGGCTTTGGTATTGCCAGAATTTTCAACGGTGTTGGCTGATCTTTGTGTAAGGGGTTCAGTGAGAGTTCGTGATAAGGCAGATTTTTTGATGAAGAAGATGGCAGAGCTGAGCTTCGACTCTGATATGGAAGTATGCTCCCTTCATGGTTAACTCGAAAGTTTTTCATTTTACAATTGGTGAAGAATAATTAAATATATAACACTTTTAGACAATTGAATTTTATGTCATTGCCATGGCAAGTTAAGTCACTTTGAGTTGAAAATTGACTCACGTTACTGCACATTAAATGAATTTAAGTTGAGTTAACGATGGATTGATATTTTTTTGAACTATTTATACTCTAATTTATGTTACTAAGTCTAAATTTATGAACACGGAAGTAGTGGATTATCGAAAGTAACAGATTAAGTAGGGTTAAAAAAAAAGTTACATTAGCAAGAGTATTTAAAAAGAGTTTAGGAATAAAATTGAATATTTTATTATAAATATTATATATTACTACTTAGCTCCTTAAATAACTTTTTTATTTTAAATAATTTAAATTTAAGATTTATAATAAAATATTTATTTTTATTGTTAAACAATTTTTTTGGATTTAGAAATATCTAAACATTTTGAACTATATAACAACTCATATGAGTTATTTCTTATTTAAAAAAAATGTAAAAGAAAGGTTTATAATATCACATCATTTTTAAGAAACTTAATCTTTATTTTATTTCATTAAAAATTTTCTTACTAAATTTTAAAAAATTCATTCTCTCTTATTCTCTTTTCTTATTTATTTTAAATTTCTTATTTTTATAAATTGTTTGATGAAACAAATATAAAAAAAATTAAGCACTTATTATAACACATGAGATTTTTCAAATAAAAAGTTACTTCATATAATTAATACTTTATTTAAGAGTATCTCAAATTTTTAGCAATAATTATTTGAAAATAAATATCAATATTTTATTATGAGTCTTATAAATGAATTACTTAAAACTTGATTCAAATTATTTATACAAACAATTTTATCTAATTTTACACAACTCTCCAATTTAACCCATAATAAAATATTTATTTTTATTTTTCAACAATTTTTATTAAAAACTCCATTATAATGTCTACGCATCTCTGTAAACAACTCTTATATAAGTTGAGTTTGGGTCCATGTACATGTGGACATTTTGCATATTTTTTCTATTTGCCGCACCCTTTCTATTCTTCTCACTTCCTCATTTGTTTTTGTAAATTTTATATTACTCATCCTTCTCTGTGGACCTCCATTTTAAAAAGCTTTTCCCTTATTCCCACAACTACACGATCTTCACCTCTTTTTTCTTTTTCTATTTTCACCCAATGGTGTGTTTAGCTTTAGTTGACAAAAATAATATTCTTATTAAACCAAAACAATTTTTCATCGTGTATTCGATAAAGATATACAAGATTATTTTATTTTATTTTTATTTTGACAAAATTCACAATACAATTAGTTTTTTTATGTACTTGGGCAACATAACAATGTAAGTTATATTTTATAATGTAGGTATACATTACGATAATTATTATAAAATTGAAAAATAACAATAAAGAGAGAACACAGAGTGAAAGAAGAAAGAATAGAGAAAAGGTGGATAATGAAAAAGTGAAAGGATAAAGACGGAGAATACGAAGGATAATGGGGGGAGAGCGAGAGAGTGATGATATTGATGTATTAAGATAATTTTAAAAACATTTCTACCCAGAGTAAAATAAGGGCATAAAAAACAATTATTTTTATTTATTATAGTTGTGAAAAATAATTACCTTAATGTTTCACCATGCAATGTTATAAATTTTTAAATTTATTTTCTATGTATTAATATAAAACATACTTTAAATTATGTTTTAATGACTATTATTTATAAATAATTGTTAAAAAAATATGGTAAGATTTAACAATTATTTGTTATTTTTATATACTTTATTAATTTGTTAAATATGCATCGATATTTTTTGTTTCAAGGAAAGTGTTTAAAAATGTAAACCGACATAAAAAAATGATTTGTAAAGACGCATCATCTATTTTCTTTTTATAATATATTAACAGATCCTTACATATTTAATGAATTAGTCAAATGCACACAAATTTAAATATACGATGATAAAAAAAAAAACATGTTTTTATTTAAATATGCCTCACTCTATATTTTATTTAATTTATCTCAACCTTAGGTGATTTTAATTGTAAATAAACTTATTTCAGCAATGGAATTTTTGAGTGCGAAATAATTTGTGTTGAACCTTAGATTATTGGGCCTACTCGGCCGAAAGCATCCATGACCACTGTCAGCTACGGTATTCACGTAATTAAAAAAACGATTTTTATAATTATTAATTAAGAAAAAACTACTTAAAATTATAATTATTTAACCATACGTTCGAAAAATGATGTATTTATTTTTAATCTTGTTAGTTAAGAATTATATAAGTTTCCACCTTTTCAGTGTCTACCTTTAAAATACTCTTGGAAGTAATAAAAGTTGTCCAACATCCAATATATTCTACAGCAAAGCAGCAACATCTCGTAATAACTTTTTTTTTAAGCCTACCTCACAGCTTTCTCAACCCTAGTCCACTCAGAAACAAAGCATTATTTTAATGTTGTTTTGAAAAATAGTAATTTCGAGACCAATAAAATAAAATACATATATATGTCTGAAGGAACTTGTGTAAGTGGCATACAGAATATCGACGACGTGATAATAGTTTTAAATCTCTGTAGATTCCTGACAAACACAATTTCAAAATACTAGCTGGAATTTCTGCTTTCGAACTGTTCACAGACAATGCTTCGATTTTATTTATTCCATATGCATATGTTACACCATTAATGTTTTTCCTTGCTTCACGCCATATTCATTCCTATCACTCGCACTGAATTTGACTATTAACTTCGATTTTTCCTTTTACTCATTCTGGGCTTTGGCCTCAGAGTTGACTACTTAAAAAGCTGGGTCAATTTTATATGTCTGTTTCTGGTGAAATTTCGATCGATTTCGACTCTTAAGATATTTTGATCCTAATCAAAATTCTACCACGTAAGTTCTTTTTGCTTAGGCTAGCAAATTAATTTTCAATCAAAATATGTATGAGGATCGAATTTTACCCGATTTTAAAGATACTATTTTTAGTGTTTTGTATTAAGAATACTCGAAGTAAAGAAAGCAGAAAATATATGGAATCGAAAATCAGTGCTGAAACTTAGATTGCAAAGAAATGTAAACTACGAGAATCTTAAATTTACTTTAAGTGTAAAAGACAAGGAATCGAAATAGAAATGATGTAAATAACGAGAAATCGAATTTGCCGGAAATGTAAAGGACAGTAAATCAAAGGTGCAATAGATGACTGGAAATCGAAATTGCATTAATGTAAAATGACTAGGGAATTTAAATACGGAAACTTAACTTGCATTGAATCGAAATGACCAAGAATCGAAAACACATAAACATAAAATTGCTGAATATAAATTGCATCAAAATAAATTACCAAGGAAAATAAAGAAAGCGATAAAGGTACTCCGTGAGCATAGAAATCCAGATTGTCAGAAGCTTCATGGTGTTCATCGTTTCTCCGGTAGACTTTTTCACTACTAATCCTGTTCTCTGCCAATTTTCGCCCCCCTTATTCCTTCTTCCTCTGCTCTATTTATAGGGCATCATTCAAGCCTTCTAGGAGCAGTTAACAAAACTGCTACCACGTTCTTCGTGCGCGTTGCAGTTTCTTCTTCTGTGGTGTCAAAACTGCACCCACGTTCCCATGATCTTCAACCTCTGCCACGATTTAGAAACTGTTTCCTATGTGCGTGTTTAACTCCTTCTCTTTATGATCTGGCCACGATTTTGATATTTATGCGGGTTAACCTTTCTTTCGATTTAGACTTCAATTTTATCGAGAACTTTGGATTACTTTTGATTCCTTTTAACCTTAGCATCATATACTTCTAATTTCTTGGTTTGTTCCACAATAAACTTTTGACTATTATTTCTCCGATTCCGACTCTAACTTTCGATTTTATATGCCATGCCCTTCTAATTGGACATCGAATGGTTTCTCATCCACCTTTTCGCTTTACCGATCAATCACATGTTTCTCGATTTTTCTTTCCTTCATTTTTCGATCGCTTTTCTCGATTTCCTACTAACAAAATGCCCCCTTTGAAGAATATAAATAGTTTCTGTTTATATTCTTTCAACATGATTCCCGCCTTTGCTTGTTGGAGGCCCACAAAACTTAGGGTTTAGGTTTTTTGGGGTTCTAGGGTTTACAGGGTTTTCAAGTTTCCTTTTGCTTTATGTCGTCATCGCGTCAGTCTGTTGTCTTACTGTACACGCTACATTAATTACCTTTCACCTCCGTCGTTTCCAGCCCCCTAGGCTATTTTCCCTTTAAACTCTCTATTGATTTTTTTACTCTGGTTTTTTACGCGAACCTTTATCCCTTTGCAACTTCATCTTCTTCCTTGAGCTTTTGTCTTCATCCTTGTGCCTCCATCTCTTACCTTGTTTTCCTCTAATCTACCAATTACTGAAATGGCAACTTCTTCCAAGTCTTCTGACTTTTCCGCTCCACCCCTTCCTTCATTGGCATCGAACCTGCTGGAGATCAACAATCAGAAGTTCGCTCCAGTCCCTCTGATGGAGGAAGCTTCTCGGAAAATTGCTGAGACGCAGGTACTTATTCCTTACACTGTTGATGGTGTTAATTACGCTTTTGGGGGTCCTCTTCGTCCTATTGATGGAACCTTTTCTCCCCTCAACCTCTCGAATAGTTCGGCTCTTGTACACCAACCTGAAGTTAGGATTGATTTCTTGAACCTTGTCTCTAAGGTGTATCGGACAGGCCCTCCTTCCAAAAAATCTTTGTACATTAGATGGTTTGATAGGGTTAAAGCTAAATTCGGAGATCATTGGAGAAGCGTGGGAATTTTTGATTTTTTGCACCTGTCCCGATGTGACTTATCTCATTTGGACATGGCTATGTTCTTGGCTGCCGTACACTTGTGGAATAAGGAAATACATGCCCTGGAATTACCTTGCGGTCCTCTTTCGCCTACCCTTTTTGAAGTCGCGGCCATTACTGGATTAGAACCTATAGGGGAAAGATATTTTAAAGGTGCA